ATTTCGATTATTTCAATTATTTTGATAATTCAAATCGGTGGGATTTGTGGTTCGAGCCAGAAACCCCACCGATTTCAATTATTTCAATTATTTCAATTATCAAGGCCGGCCCGTGAATTGAAATAATTGAAATAATTGAAATCCCGTGGTTCGGTGTGCCGAAGCCACCAAACCCCGGGATTTAAATAATCAAAATAATTGAAATAATTGAAATAATTGAAATAATTCAAATCCGGCCGATTTGAATTATTTCAAATATTTCAATTCACAGGGTGGCTTTGTGAATTGAAATAATTAAAATAATTCAAATCGGCTGGATTTGAATTATTTTAATTATTTCAATTATTTTGATAATTCAAATCGGTGGGATTTGTGGTTCGAACCAAAAACCCCACCGATTTCAATTGTTTCAATTATTTCAATTATCAAGGCTACCGCGTGAATTGAAATAATTAAAATAATTCAAATCGGCCGGATTTGAATTGTTTCAATTATTTCAATTATTTCAATTATGTTGATAATTCAAATCGGTGGGGTTTGTGGTTTGAACCATGGGTTTCCCGATTTCGATTATTTCCATTATCTGGGCGGCCGCGTGAATTGAAATAATTGAAATAATTGAAATCCTGGGTTCCCGATTTCAATTATTTCAATTATTTCAAATATTTATATTCTCATTAAGTGTATAGGAAGGCAACAGGGCGTCAAATAGACCCTAGAGGCGCCTCTCTCTCTCTCTCATATATATATATACACGCTGTATTATAACAACCGAAATATCATTGTATAACAACATAGTATTATGATATGTGTATACAAAATGCGGTAGGTTTTATTGTATAGTAAGTATATACTATTCTGTACCAGAGCAGAATAGAAACACATACTAACATTTTTAGTGTAAAATAATAGCCGTAAGTTAGGGTAGTTGTCAATTAACACATTAGCCAAGTTCTGCATTTTTTGATAGTATTCATGTAATTATATAGCACTACGAGCCTTTGTTATATAACGCTTGACGGACTTGAAACATATTTTGCAATATTACCAAAACTGATTACTATTGATGTGCGAGCTTGTTAAACCTCAATATACATATCATAGGGAATTAATATCAATATACAAGATATATGAATACAATGCTTGTGTGACAGATCGGATCAAGTGTAGTTTAAGTCATGTCATTACGGTATGTTGCTTCCAAATGTATATTGCTTCGAAGCCCTTTTGTACGTAAGACTCGGGCCTCGAGCACCCCCTTTTCCCACCGCCCCCACGCCCCGCGAGCTCCCTGCAGCCCCCGCACACCCCTGCACCCCACCCAACGCACGTCCCGCAATGAAAAAGGCCAAGAAAAGAAGGCCAAACCAAATTCTCCAGCCGTTCTGTTGTGGCGTCGAACCGGAAGAGCTGCAGGTTTATCTTCCATAAACAAGGCAAGTAGAAGTAGAAGCACCTGTCTCGGAGCCTTTGCTGGACGTTCATGCTTCTTTCTCGGAATGTCTTTGCTGTCTGCCGCTCCCAGAGGCTCAAGACAGTCCTCGCTTTCAGCGCGAGGCAGCAGTCTGACTAAATTCTAGGTTTCGTGAGCTTACTGCGCAACATGTGAGTGCCTTGCTGGCTGACTCCGATGTGGATGTAATGTCCACGGCGTTGTTTTTCGTGTGCTTGACGGTGCTAACTGCCGGCGAACGTCTTGGCGAGAACTTCGCCCTGAAACCGCATTTGAGACATGATGCTCAAACCATGTAGATGTGCATTGCTGCAGCTGACTGAGCTTGTCCTGTGCATGTCTTCCAAGGTATACCTGCCAAAAAAGCGCGAAGCGCAACAGGCATTTCCCAAGACTTGCGAAGATGGTGTGATTGACCTCCAAGGGGTGTACGAGGTCAACGAAGAAACGAAGATCCGAGGGTGCAACCTGGAGGGCAGTGGTGCCAAAAGTGCAATCATCCTGTTGCGCGCACCCCTCACCTTTGAGCCAGATCCAGGCTGCTGGCGGCTTGCATGTCTCGTTGTCGTGTTAGGGTAAACCACTACAGTGATTAAAGTGTCTCCGCGATGGAGCTTGGAGAGCTTCTCATTGACAGGTTCGGAAGATGATGAAATTTCGTGGCTCGGTGCTATACGCTTTGTGGGAAAGAAACCCTTGCAGCAAGCCTGTGTGACTGTGAACGGTCACCTCGTCATTGGTGGTGAACCTGATGGTATGCCTGATGCCAACATCCAATTCGACAGCTGCCACAACGAGGCGGCTTGTGTAGTCGGGGCTTCAGCAAGCTTGGGTTCCATCGTTCTTGAAACACTTCTCTTCATCCTGAGAGGGCATGTTGTCTTTTGGCGGGGCCCTCCACGTGGATGGCTTGACCATGCGATCCGGCTTCGTGATGATCCAGGACAGTAGCTCGGCAGGCGGGTCTGTCCTGCAGAGGTGTTGACCTTGCAGTGCAACCCTTGTGCCAGGTGGTGGGGGCCTTTACATTCGCGGCAACGGGCTCCATCAAACGGGTGGGAAGGTTTTGCTGAAGGACTGTGGCTCGGATGGCTCCGGCGGAGGCCTGCGGATAGACTCAGATGATGGTTTTCAGCAGGATGCTGGTGACATCAGCTGCATAGGGTGCGCCGCAGCTCAGTATGGGGGATGCATGGCCATTAATGGTCGTACATACATCGCTGGCTCCATCGACGTGAAGAACTGTTCAGCTGACTCAGGTCAGAGCCCGGCGTGGTTTGGAGCTTTCTAGTTGAGTCTCACATCGCCCATGTGTAGTGGGAATGGGAAATATCGGTATGAGCTGCTGTCTTGCCAGGGGGGGCCGTCTCGGTCCTTGGCGCGTTGGAGTCTTTGGGCCTCATGGAGTTCGCGTGGTGCACAGCCAGAGCAGGCCGGGATTCATGTCTACCATCGATAGCTCCTTTGTTGCACATCGTGGCTCCTCAGACCCTTTAACTGTTCTGGAAGGCGGCGGTGCGCTCCGGGTTGAGTCCCGCCTCATCCAACATGCCGGCAGCATGAAGTTTCGATCATGCACTGCTACCGAGGATGGAGGCCCCGACACTTTTCTTTGCAGACTGGCCGAATGTCCTTGACCTGAACATGAGTTGAAGGTGCGATGAATCTTGATAAGAGCCTAACCGCAACGGGCACTATGGAGTTCTATGCATGCCACGCAGACGGCGATGGCTGGGATCTCAAGACCGACGCAGGTAGGCCGTATTTTGCCTGCGCGATGGGGATACCCATTCAAGACCTCAGGCGGCGCCATCAAGCTCCACGGCAACCTCTTCCAACTAGCAGACGGAAACATGAGCTTTGCCTTATGCACCGCACGCCGCGGAGGAATGGGTGCCGACTGTTTTTCGTAGTGGTGCTAGCGCTCTGTGGAGACCTGTTGTTTTTTGGGAAGGTGCAGTGGCAGCTCGCGGTCTTGAAGCTTCCGGCACCATGGAGTTCAAGCAGTGCCATGCGGACGATTCAGGTCTTGGGGACGGGGCTTCATGCCGGAAGCCGCTGGTTGTGTCAGTCTTGTCTCTCTTATTTGCATTTTCTGGCCACAAGGTGGTGCAGCTGTCGTTGAGACTGACTTCGATCAGAAAGCCGGCCGTGCAGACTTTAAGTCATGCACCGCTGGAAACGGAGGCCGGGGGAGGCCCAAAGCTGAGTTCACCATAGCCGGGTCATCCTGCCTCTCTGCCAGGCGCTCTGGTAGTCCGCGGTGACCTTGTTTGTGACGGCCTATGCAGCATTGAATCTTGCCATGCGGAAGGCTGCCGAAATGAAAGGAAGCTGTCATCTGGTGCAGTGATCCAATCTGGAGTCGCAACTTCTCAGTCTCAGTCTCGCCAGGTTCTGCCCTTGAGGTTTCGGGCGAAATTCGTGTTCCTGATCTGCCGACAGACTGTCCAGATGGAGTACTGGACTTGACGGGAATGTTGTATGTGGTCGACTGGATTTCCTTTTTTCATGGAAACTGCAAGATTAGGGGCACAGGCGCCACAGTGCTGATCAAAGAACCCCTGGTCGTCGAAGGAGCGCCTTCTTGCAGGGTGCACAAGGAATCCAATAGTACCGACATTTGGTTGTTTTCTCCCTGCTGCCTGGGAAAGGAGCTGTTGAGTTCCTCGGCATCATCACCTTCATTGGACTGTCGCCTATGGAGCAAGCTTGTGTGACGGTGCAGGGCAATGTCACAATTGGTGGCACTTCTGATGAAGCTAACATCCTGTTTACGGATTGCCACAACCAGGCAGTCCATCCGCCTGAAAAGCAGGTGAGGGCTCTGCCCCACCATTGACTTGCGTTGTGTGGGTGTCCAGGACAACACATCTGCTGGTGGAGCTCTCCACATCGTGGAGGGCCTCACTGTCGTCTCTGGTGTGTTGGAGATTGAGCGAAGCAGTAGCGTGAAAGGCAGGCGACATAGAGCCGAATGGTTGTGAAGTTTGCGTGTTTTGGCCTCTCTGGTGCCAGGCGGTGGTGGGGTCTACATCGATAACGGCAATCTTCGACAAGTCGGTGGCAGGTTGCTTTTCAATGCGTCTACTTCAGAAGACAATGGAGGAGGCTTGCTGATCGGCAAGGGCAGTCTCGTCCAGGCAGATGGACAAATCAGCTGCCACAAGTGTTCCGCAAAGCGTGGTGGATGCCTGGCATTGAATGGCGCAGACAACTACAGCTTGCAGACGAATGGTTCCATTGAAGCGGAGAGTTGCACGGCTGCTGCAGGTGCAGGAAGCCAATCGTTTTGCTCTTGCAGAACAGACTCAGTTGTGTGAGTGCTTTGGAGGTGGTGCGCTGCACATCAGAGCGGGACATTGGACTTCGTTTGGCCATATCGTTTTCATGCGCTGCCGTGCAAATCGCGGACCAGGTGCTGCAAGCAGTTTTTGGAGCGGTTCAAGCATTGTATTGATAGCTGTAGACGCCGTGTGTTCGTCGCTGCTGCTGATTCCAGGTGGTGCTGCCTGGGTACGGGGGAGCATCTTTCAAATGAAGGGCACCATGACATTTACATCGTGCACGGCAGCTGGCGAAGGCCCTCTGCGGCAATGCAAGTGTCTCACGGTTGTTTTCCGCAGCCACCTGAGAGAGGGATGCTTCATAGATTCATACCTATGCGCACTTACATGCATCCACCAACGTACACGCATTTAAGTATAAGGCACTCGGCAGGAAGAAGTCACCAAGCACGGTACCGCACGATGCAAGATGCTGTTTGTCCTGGGAAGGCTAGTTTGACAGCTAGGTTTGTGTTCTATGGCTGCTTGTCATGGCAGATGTGATCCCGCCAGGTGGGGGAATGAAGGCAACGGGAAGCTTCGTGCAAGAGGAAGCGTCGGTTTCCTGCCAAGCCTGCAATAGTCAACGTGGAGGTTGTATGCACGTTGTCGGCAAGTTCGTCCAGTCCAAGCGCAGCTATGCCGACTTCACAGGTTGCAATGCATCCAGTAATGGAGGCGCTTTGAGCGCCGAGAAGGGTGTCTACTTGGGGGGCAACAGCAGATTTGAGTACAGCTCTACAGGTTCTCCGGAATGCAAGTGGCCGTGTTGAGGTTAGTTTGCAGGCTGTCAGGCTGTCAGAACATGCTTTGATCTTCCGTCTTGGACCGAGTTCCGAGGTTCTGACGGTGGCTGCCTTCACACCGAAGGTCACGCAAACTTTCAGGGCTTTGCCAAGTTTGACCGCTGCAAAGCTGCTCGCTATGGTGGTGCCGTGTCAGCCCGAAGTGCGGAGAGCGGCGCACGTGTCGCCTTCGAAGACTGCACAGCTAGATCGAGCGGCGGTGGCCTCTTCCTCGAAGCGTTTCATCAGACCGGCGGCTCGGTGACGTTTGCATTCTGCGAGGCAGATCTCGACGGAGGAGGCACGCGGTTTCGGGAAGAGTAGCTGCAGATAAGAGCGTGCCTTGTCCCTGCAGGTCTGTACCTGAGGGGGGACTTCCGGCAAGATGGTGGGCATACCGGCTTCGAGTTTTGTGAGGCAAAGATTGGCAAGGGCGGCGGCCTGTGTGTCGAAAGAGGCTCATTGATACAAAGTGCTGGGAACCTGGACATCAAGGAGTGCAGAGCAGGCGACACAGGCTCGCGTGCGGGTTTTGGGTTGTTTTTTTTGCCACGGCCTGCTTCAGTGCGGTGGCACCGTTACCAAGAAGAGCAGCGTGAGGCCTAAAACAAGCTGTTGCGATTTGATTCTCAAGCCCTTTAAAGAAATGGGCACTCTTTACATCTGGGGTCGAGACCCCAATCCGAGCTCTCTAGTCACCAAGCCGGAAGTCTCGTCGTGAATGCGCAACGGGACGTGGCGGACTTCCCTTGGTCAGTTGCGGACCGAAAATCTAGCTACAATGAACTAATCACGAACAGGTTGGCATTGGTCCGGAGCAGTTGTTGGCAGTAGTAAGCACTAGCAACTCGGAAGGAATCGATCCTGCATTGCTGCAGTTAAACTTTTTTGGTGTCTTTGGTCGAACGGACTAGAGGCTTGTTGTATGAGAAGAGTGTTTGCCGGCAAAATTTTTAGTCTTGAATGTTGGGCGGGTCGTCAGCTTTACGAACACAGCATGGCTTGGCAGTAGAGTTGCATTGCTAGGGACTCGGACAATCATAACCAGCTGTAGAAACCTGGAGGTGGAGGAGGACACGTTCAGCTTGACGTTGTTCAGCAAGGGAGCAAGCTTTCGGTTGCAGACTGTCGCAGCGCGAGAGGAAATGGAGGTGGCATGCGTATCGGTGGCAACTTTACGCAGCTGTCCGGCGGCGTGGCGGCTTTCTCGAGTTGCTTCGCGGAGCTCGGGGGTGGTTGCCTTGCCGTTCAGCAGTCCGTCTACCTTGCGGGATCCAGTACGTTCAAGTCGTGCGAAGCTGCTGGAGAAAGCACGGGAAGTTTTGGACCAGGCGTGCTAAAGTATTGCAGGGACCACGAGCGTCGAAATGCGTTGACCATGCGCACAGTAGGCGTAAACTACATTGCCTGAAGGTGGAGGTGGCTTGCTTGTTCACCGCCACTTCTTTCAGCGTGGAGGAGCTATCAGCTTCGAGAATTGCAAGGCTGCCAGGGGCTTTGGCGGCGGAGTGCAAGTCCGTGATGGCAACTTCACCTCTGCCTCCGGCGTCCTGAATTTCACGAGTTGCTTTGCGCTACGTGGTGGTGGCGCTTTTGTAAATCTCCATGTTCACGCAAGGGCCGATGCAAGGATGCGGTTTGAGAGTTGCACAGCTGATGGCAGTGGTGGAGGCCTTCAAGTGTCGGAGCTATGTGCGTCATATGAATTTTCTGCTTGCTCTGAGATCTTTGGACGATCGCTTCGACAGGTATGGGCCTTCAGCGTGGAAGTCTCTTCCAGCACGGCGGTGACATCAGGTTCTCTCACTGCAAAGCCGGCAAGGGAGGGGGTCTGGCGCTGCGCCAGGGCTCCCTGCACCAGTTCATGGGTAGTTTGGGCTTCGAGGACTCCAGCTCTGGCGAGGGTGGTGGACTTTTCGTGGGCTCCTTGCTGAAGCTTAAGAACGGGAATAACCTGGGTTTAGGGTTTTGGCTGGTTGGGATGGTCAGTCGAAGAAATCGAAGGGTTCGTTTGCATTTCTGTTTTCTGTTTGAAAGCAGTCCTCTTGGGACGGTTGTGGGGCTCTGTTTCCCGTCCCGAGTCAAACCCAGAAAGGCAAGGATGTGCTGCTGATGGGCGGTGCCATGAACTTCAGCTACTGCCAAGCATCTGGGGAAGGCGCCGGCTTCGCGAAACAGATTCAGAGCGAGTTTAGGGTTTCGGTCTGGGAGTCAATCGAGCAAAGCACACTGAAATTTTCGGTTGACGAAGACATGCCATTCCTAAGTCTTGGCAGAAAAAAACATAGCACACAGGATTCGCTTCTTCGTCTTCCCCTGCACGATGTTTATCTATTTTGTTGCTACTCTTGGTTGTCGGTTTATGCTTATTCCCGACGAGTGATGTCTTGGAGTGCCAAGTTGTCACACGGAGTCAAGCATCGACATCGTCGCATCGTCGTCATCCTGAATCATCATGATCCTCATCCTGTTGTAGTTGTGCTGTCATGTAAGGCTGCACACTCATTATGCTATCAATGTGGCAGCTTGCTTCGTGGCCGAAGAGTCATCTTGAAGCATCGGAACCTTAATCTTGCACTGAAACGCAGGGTGAAGCCGGAACACTACACGCACCACTGTTTCAGGCGTCCCGTGTACCAAAATCTGTGTGCCTCTGCGGGCACTCATTCTGAGTTGGTAGCCGCTACTTAAATAGTCTGATATTGGCATGCGTGTTATTTGTGGATTTGAAGACCCCTATCCCCGAAAACATCCCGAAGAACAGAACATACATCGGCATCCGGTCCAACTCCTGCGTCCTGGGCTTTCCGTCTTCTGCTGCAGCCGGTCCGTGTCTGCGTGTTTGGCCATTGATCCGGGTGAGCGTTCCCAGTGTCGTTGATCACCTCTGCTGCAAAAGAAGCCAATCATGGCATCAACCTGCTTCCTTAGCCAAACATGCAACCCAAAGGCGAGTAACAGTTTGCAGCCAAACCACGGCTGAGTTGATTTCGGCGCATGTGCCCAGGGAAATCTTGCAAATGGAGCAGAATGGTGGCATGGCCGTCACTCTGTTTCGTCCTGCGGTTACTGTCTGAGAGGAGTATGTTGGTGGGGATCGCTGTATCGTTCCCCGCAGTATCAGTCAGGGAACGAGCCCAACCGGGTTCGAAGATTCATCCTCTGAAGTCTGCGTTCTTGTTCATGGACAGGTTCAGAAGAAACATCAAGCAGAGGTCAAAGTCAAAGGACAAAAAGATCCACCTATGCACCTCAAGAATCCAACCTTAGCCGCAAGTAATCATGCTAGGTCACCCCTACTGACCATCCCTCCCTCGATGCCCTGAAAGGGTTGGTAGGTTCGCAAAGCCATCGTAGCCCCGGCAATCTTGTCACAGGCTGTCACGACTAAGCCCGTATCGTCTGCACAGTGATCACAATTCAATGTAGGGTCAGTGCTGCAGTAGAGAATATCAGCAGCTTTGTCTTACGAATGCTTCAGATCGGCACGCATGCATCGTTTCGGAGAAGTGGCCACCCGTTCGGGTGGAGGCGGCGGAGCGGTGGTGAAGCAAGATTTTCTTCAACATGGCGGAGCACTCGTTGTCGATTCTTGTAACAGCCAGGATGCTGGCGGCGGTCTCCACATCGGTGGCATATTCAATCAGGCGTCAAACTCTGCGGCCCGATTCACAGCTTGTCGAGCACGAGTTGGAGGTTGCATGGGTGTCGAAGGTTCGGTCTTTATGAGTGGCTCCAACACCTTCAAACGGTGTGTCGCTCTGGGAGATCGTGCAGGACTGCAGAGTTTGTAGACATTCTGAAACTTGTTTCACACGTTTCGTGCAACCGTGGCTCAGCCGCCCTTTGACGAGTGCAGGTACGGGTGGGGGCGGACTCTACACTCAGGAGACCTTCACCCAGCTTGGCGGCATCATCAACTTCACTAGGTGTCGGGCCCTCAAGTCCGGTGGGGCATTGCGGATCAACAACGGCAGCCTACTCGCGAAGTCGGGCACGATGATTTTCAAGAAGTGCAAGGCTGAGAAGAGCGGTGGAGGATCCGACGTGGGTCTTCATGTCTATATTGGACCGGAAGCAAAGATGTTCCTTTATGCATGCAGTGCTCATTATTTGGGCGGAGGCCGGAATGGGCCAACAGCTGTCCCTGAGACCCTAAATCCCAAACCCTAAAACCCCAAACACTAAACAGTTGAACAGCTTGGTTTGACAGGGTTTTTGCGAGCCTTGGCTAGGCAGGCCAGAGAAGCATGCTGAGAGACTTCCCGTTCAACAGAATTTGAAGACCACTGCTGATACTGCTAGTGCTTAACACCGTTGTGTTCAGTCTTGCCATGCTTTGCATAGCAACTGTAAGTACTGTACCTGCAATTGACTCGTGATCGTGCTTGTTGTAGTACGCTTGCATTAATTCAATCATCGCCAAAGCTATTGCTAACGTCTGTTGCTGTGATGGTTTCTGCCCGTCGTTGTTTGTGGCGACGACTTTGTCCACACGGTAATCGGCTTGGTCTTCGCACGTCTTCGCTGATGCCGTTCAATGCCTATCATCACAGGAATTAGTTGATTTGGTTGTGGTGGTGGTGCTGGTGGTAGTGGTGGTGCTCGGGCTGTTACGCTTGTTGTTATGCCAATGCTATGAATCAGCGTTATGCTTGCTTGTACGACTACAGCCACGGGCGCGATTATGATTTTGATTTGCTTGCAGCGGCTGTTTCTTGTTGAAGTTCACTGTTGTCCGTACTGCGAAGGGCTGACAGACACTGACTGACCTCCTAGTTTTGTCAGGTATATACCTCAACGGCCGCTTCTTCCAAGACGGGGGAAGCATGCATTTCAGCGGCTGCCAAGCAGACGTTGGAGGAGGTCTGGCCGTGTTCGGAAGTTATTTGCATCAGCAAGCGGGCAGAATGCACTTCCTTCACTGCCACGCCGCTTTCGGTGGCGGCATATGGGTGCAGGAGAACATGACCGTGGGCAGCAGCGTGGTTCTTTCCAAATGCAATGCCAGCGTGGGAGGTTCTCGGTCTGTCAATCGAACCAGCAGCAAGCAAGACTTCGCTTAACGCTAAAGTTTCAGGTACTGCAATCTGTGTCCCAGGGCTTGTTTTGATTCTACCCTCAAGAGCTGGCCCGTTGCATGTTTGTTTTTTTTCGTTTCTGGCGTAGATTTCCCTGTTTGATTCTCCAGCCCTGCCGGGGACCCCGAAGTCAGCGACTTTCGCCCCTGCGCAGCAAGTCGTACCTTCGCCGTCATGGTTTGTAGACACCTCTTACCAAGGTGCAGACCTTCCTGACAACTCTCCTGTCAGTTCCGAGCCCTAAACCCTAAACCCTAAACCGTGGCTCAAGCCCCGACTCCTAAAACCCCGAAGGCGGCTGCCTTTACATCCACCAGGGCGAGTTGACCGTGAAAGGAAACGCATCCATGGAGTACTGCAGATCGATTGGGTCGGGCGGTGGCCTCCTGATGGGCAGCGGAGGTGCCTTTGCTGAAGAAGGGAAAGCTCCCAAGCCCTTAAACTCCTGAGATCCTTGTGTATATCTTGCCCGGATCGTCGGCAGTGACTGCTTGCATAAACCCTTAAACCCACTGAGCCGCTCTCGTCCTGAGGTGTGCGACAGCAAGCTGGCAGCAGGTTGAGCTTCCGCCACTGTTCGGCTCGTGGTGGAAACGGCGGTGGAATGTCGGCTTACAGCTTTGCCTCGCAGGGCTTTACAGAGTTTGCAAGCTGCGTGGCATCCTCCGAAGACTCTGGAGGCACTGAAAACCCCTTGGGTTCGTCTTGGCTCTTGTTAGAGATCTTAATATTAGGATCGTATTTAAGCAGCATTTTGGGGATGCGAAACCAAGTTTTTTTTTAAACGAGGTTCTTACACTGCTTGAGGCTGCAAAAAGGCTTCTTTCTTGCACGTGCGGGCATGTGTGGACAGGCGGCAGCGGTGGGGGTTTCTACATCAGCAGCGGGAATGGCACCATTCAGCAAAGCCGGGGCCGCATGAGCCTCACCAATTGCACCGCTGAGCAGCGTGGTGGTGGGTTCTACCTTGGATCCACAGTGCCCGGAGACATGTCTAACACCGGAGAGGGTGGAGAGAGGGGGTTGAGGTCCTCTTAACTCTAAGCCCTAGACCCCTAGCACCGCTCCGTTCGACTGTGGTATTCTGCTGTTGCCACAGATCCCGTCTTGCAACATGTCAGGAGACCTCAGGGACATTTCCTTCGACCGCTGTGGCACGTATGGCGACGCAGGCACCTTCTACGCGAAATCGCATGCTTTGAATGTCTCTAACCTGACTGTCCTCGAGCCTCGCAGCGTGGACTTCGACATTATTTCAGAGGGCCTGGGGCCCAGTTGCTCCGAAGGAAGACCTCACCTTTTGGTGTCTGCTTCATACATTTCTTCGAATCACCGTTGAGGCAAGCTTGCGCTCCAAGATCTTCATCTGCACAGCAGCAACCGGAAGTTCGGCATGGGCATATGGTCCGGGAACCTCCACGCAGCCGCGTGCCAAGAGACTCCCCAAACCCTGAAGCAATAGACCTTGTACCTGTGACTGTAAGCATGGAAGTGGAACGACTCCGAATTGCTCAAGCTGATGGATTTCGTAGGAGCCCTTCGTCTGGTTCAGGGTGCGGTGACTTCCAATCTTCTCGGGTTGGGGTGTCCCTTTTACTGCACCTCTCCCTCCATTCCTCTGTTGCTGCTGTGCTTTCTGGTTGGTGTTGCTGTGGGCTCAGCAGGTACCACTTTCATGGCCCTTCTCCTTGGATTCTGGACTTTACCTGGGTGTCGCGGGCCTGACCACTTGACACAAGTAAGTATCCGAGTGGGGCCCTGTGAGGCCATTTTATCTGGCCCCTTGCCTAGCATTGTCCCTCTCCTTGATCACCTACAGGCCTTCTGCCAGCGAGCTCGACTGGGGCTGCGTTGCCTGCAGCAGCGGCCTCGCCTGCAACCTCTGCCCTAGGACCCCACCAGGTTCCCTAGTAGGTAGTCCCCCGATTACCCCTGCCAGCTCAGTCCCTGTCGCACGGGACCACTTGCAGGGCGGGCCCAGAGCTCTGAACTCCCTCTCAAGGCAAGACCTTGCGTCTACGTTGCCTACTTGCCCTCCCCTGGGGCTCGACCGAGCTTCCTCTCTCACTGCCTCAAGCAACTTTTCGGGGCGTGATCTCATCCGTCGGGCTTGGAAAGCTGGTGCCTGGGCGCGTTTGGTGCTCCAACGTGTCTTGGGAACACCAGCTGCCTCGGTGCAGCTGAACATTCCTTCCAGGTATTACGCTGTTCTTGGCGGCGAGGGTGTGCTACCTGCTCTTTACCGTTCTTTCAAGGAGTACACCCGGGCCCTCAACCCAGTCGAGAACTCCAGAGCTGTCTCCCACGCTGTCCCGTCTGAGCTTGAGGCCCAGGTTTATTGTGCAGGTGCGCAGGTGCAATCCCGAGGCCGGACCAGGCCTAGAGGAGCTGCTCCTTTACCGGCCTCGCGGGCAACCCGTCGGAGAAGGGCGCCGAAGGTGGACCATTCAACCAGAGGGTCTTCGCAAAGGCCGGGGTAACTGTGGTGCTGCAGATGGCAGTGGCGTTTGAGGCAAGCAAAGGCATAAGCGATGCGGCCAGGCAAAGCTCCTGTGCCTGAGGGATGGCGGCTAGCAACTGAAGGCCGGGACTCCTCACCAAAGACACGGCCGAATAGAGCCATGTCAGCCAGGCACCACTGCAGGCAGGGGGTAATCCACGGAAGTCGTGAGGCACATAAATTGAGAGCAGCAAGTGGGGCCCTATGGGAACACAACCTCTAGCAACCTGGGGCGGGCGAGAGTCGACCTCGGCGCCAATAGCCTTTATTGGGAAAGTTTCTCACGGTAGCGAGGAAAGCCGTCAGTAAGTGGCCTTGTGGCAAGAAGGCAGAGGGCCCACCAAGTTCGCAGGTCTCCTATCTCCTATCTGGCGGTCAACCTCCTTGGCTTTGTAGCTGTTGAAGATGCGGCAGGAGCGAGTGAAAGCCTCCTCGGCAGGCAGGGGAGGCCGCAAATCTAGCAGGCCACTCACATCCCAAAGATGTGCATGGGCGAGGGTGTCTTTTCGAGACTTTCAGCCTGCAAGTCTGGGGAGCCAAAGGGGCCCCTCAAGAAAAGATTCGAACTGCCAAAAACCAGCGCCACGCACACGATGACGAGACACGTCGAGGGCTCGGTAGGGCTGCTGTTGAGGCAGCATGTCCGAGCGAGGCACGGTAGGCACAGCGTGAGGGCTAGGAGCCGGCCAGAAGTGCCATCATAGGAGCCCGGTGCTTCAAACATGCCGGCAAAGGACTCGAGTTCAGGCGTGCAAGAAGAGCAGGGCCAGAGCGGCCGGGAGGCAAAAGGAACCTGTCTTCTCTGGTTTCACACGCGGTCAAGAAGGCACAAATGCGTTTATAGCAAGCCCGCTGGTGGAGATTTGGGGCCCTCCAAAGCACGGCCGGAGCTAGCCAAGACCCAAGGCAGAAGACAAAGTTGATGGCACAAGTGACAACATGAAGAAGCCTCAAGCGACGCCACTTTGCCAAGGGAAGCTTTTGGGCCACTGCCCGAAAAGAGCGTGAGGTAGGGAAGGGGCAGTGGAAGAACCGCGGAAGCCGGGGCAGCGCCCAGACGACCAAAAGGAGACAAAAAGGTGGAGGCAACAAAGGCTACAAAGCTAGTCCGTGACTTCACAAGCCAGCGCGGGAGCGCAGCCGCAGAATCATCGAAACTGATCGTGGTGCTGATGGATTGCGCGACGTGGTCAACAAGGGCAGAGGGCTCCTCGTCGAGGTGGCAGTGTGCTGCTCCCCGTTTTCCGGGGTGTCAAAATTCAAGACTGCTCCGGGGATTCCAAGCGGGCACGGTATTCAAAGTATGCGTGCTTGCTTCCAACCGGAGAGGGACCACGACGGCTCCAACGGCTTCAAAACGATGCTCAACGGCAAAGCCGCGCCGTTGAGCTTCGAACCGACGAGCCCGTGCAGGAGTTCCAGGGCTTTTTCTGAGGTGCTGGTCTTTTTCTTTGGACGACGAATCCGCGCCGGCTGCTCGGTGGAGTCGGGCGGTGGTGCCTTTGTGGTGGGGCCCATTGGCACCTCCTGGCGGCTAGACTGGATGGTATCCAGCTCCTTGAGATAGGCCAGCACGATGGTGATCCACCTCTGGGATGCCAACCGGGCTTTAGCGAGCCAAGTGGTCCTTAGCAGATACATGGAGCGGCTGCTCGTGCAGCAGGCGGAGGGAGAGTAGGAGGCTTCCGTCCCCATCTGCGGCCTGATGGTCGAAAACAGCTGGGTGACTCACGGATCACGGCTCTGCTTGACTCTGTCGTCGCAAAGGCTGCTCCTGCAAAAGGTCACTCTACTGCCTTCGCTCTGAACCCCTGCCTTGTCAAAAGCGTGTGCAGTTCAGCTAGCATATGGAGTTTTCGCAGCATTTGGTTTCGCCCCAACATGCCTCAAGACCGCTGACCCTCCGAGCCGCGGCCGCTTGATCCTCCTGCCGGCACCCTCCATTCCTCATGCCTTCCTCCTGAGGCTGTGCCAGATGCAGGCGTGGAAAAGAGTAGGGAAACGCAAAAGGAAGCGTGCCTGAGGCAGGCCAGGTGGTCAGTGCTCGAGTCCCACAGTGGGCGAGCGGGAACAAGGAGAAAAAGTGGCCTCCTCTGTACGTGTAGGAGGGCAAAGAGACGGCTGAGGAGCTGATACACGAGAGTCCATTGCAGGGCCCCTCACCGGGAAAGCCGAGGCTGGAGTCAAAGTCACGGTGGCAGTCCGGGACATAGGGCTCAGGCGAGGCAAAGGAAGGCGGGCCAGCAGCAAGAATGGCAACCAACACAAGACGAGACCACGAGGATAATCCACGGCGAAAGCGGTGCTCCCCGAGTCCATGCACAAAAAACTTCTTACGCTCTCGCCTTCCCTGCTATGCCCCTCCTGCGCGCTGCCTTCGACTCCTCCGGTGAGGGTTGGCTATTTTGGGTTTTGTTCTGGGCCTGTTCAGGGTTTTGGGGTAGCTTAGCCATGGACCTCTCTGCGCCTTGAAGCTTTGCTGATGCCGGGTCGTGCTGAGCTCCGACGGCCTTTACACATATATCGTTGCTGATCGTGTGATCCACCCTGGGGACGGCGGACGACGGACTCCACATAACACAGCTGGCGGGGAGGCGAGGACGACCATGGCGGGGACGGCGGATGACCCTAGCAGGGCCGGCCCACCGTGGCCCTCACAAAAACGGCCGCGGAGCGAGCAAATCGGGCTCGGCTGCTTGAGTCGCTTGAGGACTTCGACGACTGGCTCCGGGCCACTCAAGGCACTACCTTGGCCCTCCTGCTGGAGTTTCTGCTTTCCTAGTCATGTGCGGCCAACGACTCTTCCGGACTGGCGCTCCCAGGTGCTCCCTACTGCCGCTGTTCTGAGACAACCTTGATGGAGTTGCCGCTGCAAGGCCCGGTGTACGGAGATCTTTATCTGCGGCATGGGACCTGGCATTCGCGAGGAGCCGCATGCCCACCACAGGGCATTACCAAAAGGTGTGCTATTAGCTGTCATCTGTTGCTGAAACAAGCGCAACCACGACGTTGGTAGTCAGGTACAGAGCCACTGCTAAGACTGCTTTTCGTTCCTCCCTCAAGTAGGCCACTGTGTCGTCCGGTGCACAGGCTGCTTCCCCAATGAGACGTTTGGTATGGCTTTGCTTCACCGGACATGGGGCTCCCCCGTAAGGACCACCACTATGGGGTGTGCCGTGTTCAAGGCCGGCAAGAAGGGACGAACCCAACAGGCTGACTCCTGTTTGTTGTTGAGCATCGAGTCTGTTCCCCGGAGAAGAACCTGCGCCATCACATCCTTTTGGTCCGGGGCGTGTACAATGAGTGCAGAGCACTGCAACAATGGCGGGGCGCTGCTGACGCTCCACCTGGAGTAGAACTCATGCTCGACCATGATATCATCCTGCGCTCGTACTTGACGTCGCTCAGGGCGACCATATTCGCTGTAAAACTCGTCATACTCAACAAACGTCCCATAGAGACGCACGTGGAGTTCGGCGGCCCCCAGGAGCCCCCACGTATGCCGCGGCGCCGCCACAATAAGAGGGCCTTTGGCGTGGGTCAACCCCGCGGTCAGCCGAAGAAAGGGAGGATTCCTCATTACCAGTGAAGTCATTGTTGTTGTCAGCGATGAAGATACAGGCAGTGCCCGTAGACCCTGCGCAAACGGTGGCGGTATAAACGTCCACAAAGGCTCCCTAAGAGGTAGTGGTTCTGGTCAAGAGCATGGAAGAGCTGCTCAGCCCGTACTCCGGAAGTGAGGTCACCCGGGGACTGGAGCGAGCTCGGGAGCAATTCACTCACCCATGCCGCGAAGCTAGAGCCGTCTGTCTGGGATACTGCGCTTTGCACGCTCGTCACCTGCTGCTAGTGAACTGTTGCTAAGTCCAAAGTGAGCCTTGAGTCTTTCTATGGGTTGTTGGCGTGACGAAGACCGCTTTGTTTCCTCCCGAAGCCAATATTCGATGACCTGCGACCATGTAGGCAAGGACCAAAAGCACCAGGGCAACTTGATCAATCCTTTGGACAGTCTTCGCGCCTCGCTAGCAGCGGCAACCGCATCAATTTATAGCCTGAGGCCTGGCTGGGGAGTTTGACTGCGGATATCGCAGGCTAGTGATGACAAGGTGCACCTCCGTGAGCAGACGAGCCGATGAGACCAATGATAGGTTGAAACACACCCCTCCCACTGGCATAAGCCCTTCCGCCTCATTGGCAGTGGTAGCCGGCAAAAACTCGACTCTATGGGACGCCAAACGCGCGATAAATAACAGAGCACCCCACGCCCAAGCCTGCTCGGCGGAATTGCTCGGTGATTTCATGCAGGTATTGCATGCACCTTTTGGCCATCTACGGCAACAATGCCCTCATCGGGCACAAAGCACCCTCGATCCAACAAGCAATGTGACCCCACCTCGCTCCGGGCAGTCTGAGAGAAGGGCGCCAACCAGCTCTGCGCGGCCATCAAACAGGAGGCATGCGGCCGCCTCCGCACACACAGTCGCCCGGGCGCCAATCTCTGGCTCAACCGGTTTGGGAAGGGTGGGAGCAATTCGCTTACCAAGGCTGCTCCAACCTCGATGCAATGTTGGTCCATGCGCCGCACAGCAAACAAGGCGCGCCAATGCTCGTGGGGCCTGAAGTGGCGCAATAGGCTCCTGCTGAACTGTCGCGGCCCCTCTTAGGCCCACCGGTTGAGCAAGCAGGCGCCTGAGGGGAGTCACTTGCGTGTTTGTATGCCCCNNCCCCCCCCCCCCCCCCCCCTGTAGGCTGTTGCGGGTCACCAGTTCTGATGACCAGATGCGCGCTCGCAAGCATGGAAACTGACTCCGGGTGCCCCTCTTGTTTTGGTCCTCGTCTACTATAATAGCCTCTGCGTGCTCGAAAGCCACCTTGACATCGCTATACCATTCAGCTGCTGCGAAGCGGACCCTTGCGTGATGAGAACCGCACGAGCTTCTGTAATGGATGGGGGTGGATCCATCTCCCCCTTTCTCAAAACCTGCTGTTGTTGTCCAGCTGCAGCCTTCTCCGCCGCGATGGCAGCGACCGCTGCATGCTGGTTGGGCACGTGGTCATGGTCCTGGTTCCCGGACACGCGTCGTACCACAAGTCGCCGCCTGATGGATGGAGATGCATTGTCGAGCAGACTGTGCGCGATGCTCAACACCGCAATGAGCGCTGAGTGTTGCTGAGACGACCAAATACCACGGAAGTCAAAGCAAGCGTCGATGCACATAGTTGCGCAAAACAGGGAGAAAGTTCTGGACGCGCCAGGGCATCCAAGAACGTTAAGGGAAGATCTTTGCATGGCCCTGGAGGCAAGAATGGCTGGCTTCTTGAAGCGGGCATTTTCGCGCTGGCTTGGTCTGGTTTATTGAGGATCGGGGAGGCCCTCGCAGCTACGCGGCGGGACTTGATCCCTCCCTCGTGATGCTGCGCCTGACACTGCTTTCGCGTTATTGCAGATCCGCGCGCCAAAGACAAAGGGCCGGGCAGCACAACATCAAGCAAGCCATGTCGACCCGCCCGACATTGTTCAGCTGCTTGACCTTGCTTTTGGCTCCAAACAACCGGACGAGACTCTGGCCTATGTCTGCAGGTGCTCTCCGAAGACGCTTTAGGCTGCTTCAAGCAAGATTTGGCCTCATTGGCTCTGATGGCTCTGCTCACTTTGACTTGTCATCTTTTCGCCCAAGTGGTGCAACTTGGATGTTCCACTGCACTGAGAAGCCTGACCTTGTGCGCCGATGTGGGAGATGGATGAGCATGCGAGTCATGGATATTTACTTGCAGGAGGTTGAAGCAATGACATACTTGCCCTCGCTGACTGGCGATCAGCGGGACTTCTTGCAAAACATGGCATCCTCTTTGCCGGCCCTTCTTCAGAAAGCGACAGCGCTCACACGTGTGGGCATCCCCAGGCAGGCGTGGTATTATTGCTTGCCGACCCAAAGAGCTGACAGCTGGAGCAGAGAATTCGTGGTGTCTTCTTGGATTATTTCGGGACTCTTCTTCTGTGGCACAGGCTTGGAAAGTATGCTCGCTACTGCTGCTGAGTGCATTGCTCGAGTTCTCAAACTCTTGCGATGCCTCAGCTCCCTTGCAGATGGCTAGTGGTTTTCTCCTCGTGCAAAACTGCACGTGGCACACATAAACCTGCGTATGCCAGAAGGAAAAGTGCAGCTGATCATGCTTGTGACTGTAAGCATGGAAGTGGAACGATTCCGAATTGCTCAGGCTACCCACCCTCCGCGCCCAGTGCCTTTCGGTCGGTACTGCTGCTGAGTGCATTGCTCAAGTTCTCAAACTCTTGCGATGCCTCAGCTCCCTCGCAGCTGGCTAGTGGTTTTCTCCTCGTGCAAAGCTGCACGTGGCACACATAAACCTGCGTATGCCAGCAGATCATGCTTGTTAAGGCTAAGGGATCCTCAGAACGACACTCCAGGGATAGCAGTGTAATCCTTACTTGGGAGCCTTGTCATGCTTTGTGCCTTGAAGCCTAGGGGACTGTGAACTGCACTCTGTTGAAGTGGTGCAGTTTGGTGGCGCCCGAGCGGCATGTTGATCACCTGCACTGCCCAGCGGGCACCGGAATTCAAAAGGGCGATGATTTCAGCAACTGCTCGGCTGCTTGATTGCATTGCTCTCTCGTAAATTGAACCTTAAACTTCAAGTCTCAGGGGCACTCAGAAGTAATGGCTAACTTTCGGTTAGTATAATCAGCAACAAACAGCCAGACTTCTGTAATTTTTGCTGGGGGTTCCCAAGTTCTATGTAGAAGTCCCCAGTTTGATACATATCGGTCGTGAGTTCACCAGAGGCAGTCTGGTATACGGATTTCCGAAGAGTTCGCAAAACCAAAAGCCCAAAACCCTAGACCCAAGCCCCAAAGTATCCTTCACCCTTGACCCTGAGCAGATGGTCTGACAGGTATGCGAAGATAACTTTACAGTGCTCCCTGGTCACACACAATCCAAGTGTGTGCCATGCCCGACGCACAATGACTTCTGCTACGTGGATAAGTTCAAGATGACGCCAGGGCACATGGTTCAGAAGCCAGACATCAGTTTGACGATCTTCTGCCCGAACCCAGCAGCATGTCCTGGTGGAAATTCCACGGACTTTTCGACCATGTGCGCGCCAGGCTATCAAGGTCGCGCTTGTGCAAGATGTACGCAGGGCTACTCCATCTCAGACAGCAGTGTGCTCATCTGCACCCGCTGTGCAACGGATTTCTGGCGGAAGCTCTTGCAATGGGCCTATATGCTTGCGAAGCACATCTTGCCCTTTGCGGTGGCAGCTTACAGTGCACTGCAAGTCGAAGATGCCGAGGCGCCTGTTCCGATCCTGAAGTTCAAGCTTAATTAGGGTAATTGGGGTTTCGCATGAGGTCTCTACTCTAGCTGACTTTATGCCGAATGGAGGGATTTCTTGGGAACGGAGGCGCTGCATGGTGTTGTTTGGCTTTGATCTTAAGGTCTTGGGTTTGGCCTTGGACCTACCTCCAGACTTCCAGGGCCCCCCTGGAGCTTCCACCTTCTTTCTAAAGTCCAAGCCATGTCAGCCGAGAGTCTGAAGCTCCCAAAGCATTGCAAGCCGGGCTTGCTGGCAGGAGGTCAAGCGCAGCGGTGTGCTAATCAACCAGCTGCTTTCCTTCGCCACGGTTGCCGGCACCCTCTTGATCCTGGGTCCTTGTTATACCTTCCGAAGGTTTAAGCAGGTTTCCGTCTTTTCTTGTTCTGGTATCTTGGATTACATTCTTGGACTAGAATCCAGGATCATGGTTGCCCAGACCAATGCAATGCGAGAAATCAAGCTGACGGCAGCCACTTTGAAGCACTTGCAAGCAGGCAGTAGCATGACTACATGTGGGAGTTTCAGACAATAAGGGAACCAAATATATGCGAAGCATCGGTAGGATCTTTGGGACAATAGGGACGCCAGGTACAGACGCATCATTGGTAGGATCTTTAGGACCGTGTATAAACGGTCCAGTGTTTTCAAGGGTCCTGGCTGGTGGGACTGTGGGATAGTTACTGGATGTTTCGATGCTTGTAGTGCCGTTTCTGCAATGATCCTTGTGTCTCCGAAGCCCAAGGCAGTCTGTTAGGTCAAGTCGGAACCAGAGTTGCCGCACTTCTGTTTGCAGAAGTACACATTTCGAACAGAGGTTTTCGGTCTTCATGTTACTTTACCGTCATCGGGGCTAATAGCGGGAGGGCTTCAGGGTTTGGAGGCTTTGGCTTGAATCTTTTTGATTGAATCTCTGAAAGCGGGCGTTGGTCAGGCCTTGCTCCATTTCGTTGGTTTCACGACGGATTTTATTTCCGGGCAAGGCGCCTCGGAAGGCCCGGTCTAGGGTTTGGGGTTTAGGGTTCACGGACGGGTTCCAAAGGATGTTGGAATACCACAAGGGTTCTATCAGTATTCTTTATGTTACGGGTTCTATAAATGGGGCGGTTGTGGTTGGCGGGATTTGTACGGGGAACCCGGCAGGGATCATTGAGCAGAGAGTTCGACAAGGCTTACCCAAAGAGTCCATGTGGCCAACTAGTATATTATGCTTTGGCCTTAAAGTACTCCCTATATAGGTACTTTGGGGGTGAAGTATATTGTATTTGAGTACATGGACCCTTAGGGTTAGTGTACAGTGAAGAGGAAGGCGAGCCAGTGTGTTGGTTGCAAGGGCATCCACCGGCACTTGACTCAGAAATGGGGTCAGGCGAGGTGGCCTGCCAGGGACAGGAAGTGGGATCCGTGAGCGCTGTGCATGTCTTGAGCTGCGTTTTGTTGCTTCATGGAGTGATGCACGTCTGATGCACTTGGAGCTTGCTCGTTCGGATAGTGATGCCTCAAGGTTGTGCTTGGGATGTTATTTGTTGGGGAGGTTGCCGCCACGGTGCTCTCAGCAGGCTTGCTGGAGTGTTCGGGCAGTCTTTTGTCAGCAGCAGCTG